CGTCAAATCAAGAACTTCCCTGCTTCAAAATAATATGTTTCCCCATGATTTCCAGGCCTTTGAGATAGGTGCATTTGAAATGCATTGTGGAAGAAGGACTGAGTTGTGTTCTGATCCTGCCTCCTGCCCCTTTTCTTCTGGGATCCAGCTGTGGGAACCAAGCTGGAGAACCACAAAGATGAGAAGACACTCCCTACTTGTAGAACTGCTGAGAAGAAGCTTGCAGCAGAGGACTTCTATCCTAGCTAGGTTCACTGAGCATTGGGTGAAGGGCTCCGGGGTCCAAGCTTGGCTCCTTGCATTTAGGTGATCCTGGTGGGGAGCAAGGCAGCTGGAGAAGGAGGGAGAGGCCTGAGGGAGAGCAGAAAGGGTGGGGCTGGGTGTGGAGGGCTTGTTGGAGATGGAGGGGGCTACAGTCTGGAGGCTGGGCACTGGGAAGGGTACAGCTTGTGGTCTGAAGGGAATGATGAGGCTGCACCTCAGGGGTAGGGGGTTTTGGGGAGGAGGACAGGGTAGGCAGGGGTAAAATCAAAGTTGGGCAAGGGGAAGAGCAGAGATGCAGTCTGGGGTGAAAGTTGGGGGTTAGGAGTTTGGAGTCAGATGTGGTCTCTTGAAGGAGGGGACCCAGTTCAGGGAAAGGGTTAGGGAGGAAAAGAGTGTCTCCTCCAGGACCTGGGACCCTGGTCCTGCTGACTGCATTCTCTGGCCTTGGATGGGTAAAGCATGAACCCTGACATACTGCTGAGGGCAAGTGGGGAAGAGGGCATTCTGGGCTGTCCCTGCCTCTCACTGACTTCCAACTCAGGACAAATGCATAACCTCTCTGAATATCGCTCCATGAAGTGAGGGATATGAAATGGCTTTGTAACCTTTGAAAGACGGCCTGATCACATTGACTTTGCTAGAGGTCAGGGTAGTCATGGATAAAAGAAAACCAAGCCTTTCTTTTTTAACTTTCAGTTTAACATGGGGTGCACTTTCCCCTGGTTGCTTTACACATGGGCCTAGATGTCACTGGAAGGAGATGTTGAGCCACTGTTCCAGAACCTTGTTCCTTTTCCAGAGCCTTGTCCTATGGCAGAAGCTTACAGAATAATAAGCAGAGCCATTGACCAATGAGGGGACAAGAAACAGTTCAGGGAGGGGACATGTGAAGTCATGACTCTGGTCCCAAGGGGTAGAATCTGTAGAGTCTAAGGGCCACTGCATTGAGGAAAGGAGCCAGATAGTTCTGTGACCCCAGGGGCCAGAAGAAGCCATGAAAGGATGTCTATAGAAGAAAGATTCTCTAGGAGGGAGTGGACCATTCCTGATACCTCCACCCAATCCCTTTCTGAGGAAGGAGCAGGATGAATGGTGTCTTGGTCCCATATAGCTGTGGGGGGCTGAAGTGGTTTCAGAGGCTAGGGTGGGCTAGATCCTTTTTCCTTCCTTCCACCCTGCTCACCACTGCTAAGCTTTTGAAAAAATAGGTGCTTACCATCATGAGCTACATTCACAGGGGGCCTGGTCCTAAGCCAGCCCTACTTCATCAAGAAGCTAATGACCCTCCTTGGGATGGGCCATGTCTCTGCCAGAGTATTTGCTGTCCCTTCAGGTGACACTTGATGAGCCCAAATAACCCAGGCTCCTTTGTCCTACTCACGCTATCCTTACTGTGTGGTTAGCATCTTTGTGTTTGACACCTCATAGTACAAGATAGCTGCTGCATCATCAGCCTCCTAGACTCCAGAGAGGAGGAAATGCAAAGGATAAAAGGATTTTCCAATTAAAAAAAAAATTTTTTTTTTTGAGACACAGTCTCACTATGTCGCCCTCAATAGAGGGCTGTGGCATCACAGCTCACAGCAACCTCAAACTCTTGGGCTCAAGCGATTCTCTTGCCTCAGTCTCCCAAGTAGCTAGGACTACAGGTACTCGCCACAACACCCCGCTATTTTTGTTGTTGCAGTTGTCATCGTTTTAGCTGGCTGGGGCCAGGTTTGAACCTGCCAGCCTCAGTGTATGTGGCTGATGCACCCTACGTACTGAGCTACAGGCACTGCCTTGTCTCATGTTTTTGAGATCCTCAAAATATGTATGATTTATAGTGATATATTTATATTTAGGGATGAGACTAGTTAATCAGTATTAACAATGAAAGTATGCATTAATGTACATAGTTATAATTTAATAAAAAAGACTAAAGAATAAACAAAAGATGTAAAAAAAAAAAAAGAAAGTAAAATTCCTAAGGACTAATTTTGATTCTGATGACTTGTCTTTCACCAAATATCAATTGAGTGCTTATTATATGTCACCCAGTGCTCTTGGTACAGGGGATACAATATGAACAAGACAGAGAAGGCCCCTGCATCAATACAGCTTACACTCTACTGAAGCAGACAGCATGCCATTGGATAGTCACCATAGGAGATGGTTATGTGCTAAGGAGGTGGTACTTCCTTTTAGATGTGCACAGATTTTGTATTCTGGATTTAACCTATGCGATCTCTATTTTTCAATTTGTCAAAAATTCAGATTATCTGAACTTTTGTGTCTGATTAATGAATCCAAAAAGTATTTATTAAATACCTTTTTGCTGGACACTGTGCTAAACACAGTAAATAATGTGAATAATAATGGTAAATAATAGCTCCATATAACTGGATAGAGTTATACAGAGATGAATTCCCTCCTTCATAGTTGCCTTTGGGTAGGATGTTAACTCATGTGTCTTTGAAAGTGGACACGTATATTTAGGGGCTATTGGATAGTCGGGCAACTAGAGCTAGAATTACTCTTTAATTAAAGAGTGCTACTGGAATGCCCAGACAAGTGGTCATGGTCAAGCGAGAGTGGCACTGTTTCATAATGTTGTACCCAGAATTTCCCTGAGTCCCCGAGCCCATAAAGAGATGAACCGAGACACACTCCGATGTAAAAGCAAGAGGCAAGCTTTATTTGGCAAACTTGAGTTCGGACCCTTTCTTGGCAAACATACCAAGGAAGGCCCCGAGCCTAGGGGGTTGGAAAGTTTTATAGGGTACAGAAAGCAAGAAGGGTGAAGAAGGGTGGGGTACATTTTTGATTGGTGGTCAGGGTTTGGGGAAGTACGGGGAGGCTCTGGATTGGTACAGGTATGAGGGGTGGGGGATTTCCTAACTGGGGTCTTAGGGTGGTATGAAGCAAGAAGAGTGGGGAGCACTTCTGATTGGCTGACTGGGGTGCTTGATTTCGGGGAAAGGCCAGGGTTT